GAGCCCTTCCTTTTAGTTGGGCTCTGTGCTCTCACACCTTAATGTTGTCTTATTGCTTGTGGTGTATCTGACTTGAATCCTCTCTCTCGTCTAATTTGCTGCTGCCAAATGGCTAGAAGCTGAAAACTCCAGATATCCAGAATTGTCTCTTACTGAGTTAGGGTCAGGAGTGTTCTCCTCTGATTGATTAGACTGCTTGAACTTTTGGATGCAGATTGTGGCTGCAGATCTCTTGAATTAATTTGTTCTTGGTTGTAAGTGGTTGTAAATGGAAACTAGTGGCTAGATGACTCCCAAGTGAGATGTTTGCTGCACAAGCCATTTCTTACATGGAACAAGTACTCTTCATTATCTGAAGTTTCTTCCATTCTACTGTAGGTCACTGATTTTTAATACACTTATCATTTAATTACAATTACAGATGGAAATTGGAATGGTGGTAAATGGGGTTTCTCACGATTTGTTATGCATATTACAATGAGATTATCTTTGTCAGTTTTAAAAGATAAATATTTAACTGTGATTCACAGAAGGTGACATTTCAAAAAGCCCGAGAACATTCTGTCAACACAGCCCGCTTGCCGATCCAGAAATACATGGTCAGATGCCAGAATGAGAAGAACTATCATTCAGAGATACTAGCCATCAATCAAGGTACTGCTGACATGGCCCACAGTTAACATGTGTTAGTTCTGGTGCTACTTCTTTGCATTGTGTTTAAGCATAAATGGCCCTTGAAGCAGCCCCCCCCCCGCCACCGGGACTGATGTGCTCAGATTTTATTGCGTGCACTTTGTGACAGGTACTCTGGCCTCTGGGAGGCATTTTTCATCTTCTTCTTAGATCCCAACTATGTTAAAGATTGTTGAAATTTTTCCCTTGGCCTAAAATGCCCTGTGTTCAACCCATTATTGAACAGTGAATTCCTATCTGTCCTTCGCAATTCAGTCCAGGGGCATCTCGGCTGCTCCTTCCCCCTCTCAGCCATGTTAGGGGCTCTCCTTGGTGACCCCACTGTACTGTTTTCCTCTCAGTGTTGTGGCACGGTCCCTTCACAGGCTCATATCTCTCCGTGTAGGCTGAGGTCCTTGTGGGCAAGCGGGTCCATGTGTGGTGCAGAGTAGCCTTGTTGAATGAACTATTCCAGAACACCCTTTTCCTCATTAGTCCTTTACTAGTTCTTTTTCCTCATTATGGTCACTGTGTTTTCTTTTTACCCTTCTAACAGTATTTGATATCCTGTCCACATACTTTGAGACTCAAAACTGGCCTGAAGCATTGAAGAAAGGAGTTTCTTCCAGAAAAGGCTATGTTCTTCAGAACTCAGTGGATGATGGACAGCCTAAGGAGCTGCAGAAGGCAAAGTTGCTGGAGGTGTCTTGACTGAAGAGCAGAACAGAGGCTGGCGATAGCACACACTTGCCTGTACTTGACATCTTGGATCTTCACTAGAATGTAAGTTACTAATAACAGAGACCACATGTTATGCTCTTTTCTATCTCCCATAGTGCCTAGCTCACAGGAAGAGCCCAGATATATGTTGACTAAAAAGTTTACATAACAAGGAATTAGCCCTCAACTACATGGCTTTGGATGTATTAATTCATCTTTTATATACCTATTTGTGAAATACCTACTCTTTAGAGATAGCTTAACAATTAAATAATTATTGTTATATCAAGAGTTTAATTTTCACTGAACTGGCATCATCAAGTTGTAGCACTCTCTCCAGCCTCCTCTGAGCGTGATTTTCCCCAACTCAGTAATACACTTTACATGTTTTGCAGGATCAGCCTGTCCTAACCTAGCCCTACTTTAAGCCCCCATAGCACTTTGTTCCCACTTGTGGCTCCCACCCCGTCTCTCCTGCTCTGAGTATGGAGTGGAGGGTTTCTCTCTTCCTTACGGTAGGCTCCTAACAGGACACTTTGTGGGATTGTATCCTTCTGAGCCTTGTACAAACTAGATTCTTCATATATATTTGTAACAGGTCAAATTGAAAATCAAAAACACAGTATTAACTCTAAAAATAACCAGAAAATACATTGCCTCTGACACAAGCATGTTGGATAACCTCTCATTACAGAAATCTGAGTGATCCCTTTTCTCCTATCTTAGTTACATACAGTTGCTTCAGTTACTCTAAATACTTCAGTTTACTAACCAGTTTGGGTTGATAAACTTGAAAGCTAAGCTGTTAGCAAATTCAGAGAATATATTCCAGATCTCAAAAGAACCAAAGTGTTACTTCTCTGCTCTGTCCCCTCCCCTTCAGAATTTAATCCTTCGGGAGCTATGATCACCTTACAAATTATGTATCTTTTTATGAAAAACAGCCCAGTCTTCAGGAAATATCTTTAGGAATATATACTGCTCCTTGGTCTTTATCACCATTTTGAATGAGTTCTATAATCTCTGTCATCCAAGAAGGGACCTCCTATGGCTAGGCTTCAGGGGTAACTCATACTCCCAGGGAGGTCTCTGCCTCCCAGAACACTGACCTGGATCATTTGCCAGGCTTCATTTTCACTTCTAAAGGCTTTTCTTAAAACCCCAAACAGCATGGGAGAATTTCCTCTCCAACTCTATCACCTCTACCATTTTTTCAAAAACCTAGACATGAGTTTTGGACTTCGCTTTAAGAATCTCATCAGTGTTGGGGCGCCTGGGTGGCTCAGTTGGTTAAGCGACTGCCTTTGGCTCAGGTCATGATCCTGGAGTCCCGGGATCGAGTCCCACATTGGGCTCTCTGCTCAGCAGGGAGTCTGCTTCTCCCTCTGACCCTCCCCCATCTCATTCTCTCTCAAATAAATAAATAAAATCTTAAAAAAAAAAAGTATCATCAGTGTTATTTATAGAACAAAAAACTGGACATACCCAAAATATTCTATAACATGAAAATTAAATATAACTATTGCATTTTTTAATAGCAATCATAGAAGAAATACATTAAATGTTTGAAGTGGACAGAGTACATTACAAAGTAGTATATAAAGTAGAATCCTAATTCCAATTTGAAAAATACATACACTATGTCTATAGTGTATTTGCTTCTTTATGTATTCTACATTTTCTTTGGTGAACATGTTTTACTATTATCAGAAAATAATTTTTTAATCTTTACTTCATTATAAAAGCTGCACTTTAGCAAAACTAAAGGAGTTAACACCAAATAAACCGTAATACTTTTAGTAAACTTTATTGTAAAGAAAAAAAATACACCATTATTTTATAATGATTTTTCTCACCCACAAGAACATGGGTGGCAACTAGTAACATTTTTATAAAAATATTTTATTTAGGACTTTAATTAAGACAATATGTACATTCACATTTTGTCTTCTGAATGTTTAATGGGCAGAGGTTCCCCTGAAAAACTTTTCCCCAGGAAACCCATGGTCTCTTGGGTCAACTGACCCATAAAAAATTCCATTAACATTCTGCCAATCTGGAGAAGATCTGTTTTCTTTGATCTGCCGTCATGTGTTCACAAGCTTCTAAAATGTTTGCTAAAATTAAGGTCTGCTGAATGGTTTTTGCCTTAACCCATATTCTTCCATTCATTCCAAATACTATCTCCAGTGGGTAGAGTTTTCCCACTTCCTGTAGGATTTCACAGTCTGGAGCCAGGAGCCTGGTGAAGAAATGGAAAAACTAAATTTAATAAAGTGGTAGAGTGTGACCTGACTCTCCTTAAAAGAAGATTCCTAGTTTCTGGACAATTCTCCAGTTATTCAAAAACCCACCAACATCATCCAAGAACAAGGCACATGACATTTGCTGCCCCCTTTCATCCAAGCACAGTTAGCCGTATACCACAGGTCACAACAGTGGGTTATATCCTCTACAAAGAAATCAAACTCCCTGTGTCACCAACTTTATAAAAAATGTATAAAGTTCTTCCCCTGTACTGTCAGCACCTTTTTTCTAGGCTTTAGAATCCTAGCTTTTTTATTATCTACGGTGCTAAAAGAACAGTTTAAGCTTATTTTCCTGTTAAGTTATTCCCTGGTATTAAATTCAGTACTTGGAGAGAAGCACTGACTTTCAAACCACAAGGGTGCTGCTAGGTTAATAACATGCTTCTCTGTCTTGAACGAATTGTCCAAATCTGCAGAATAAGTAACAAAGAGAGGCATGCAACACTGAGCTCTAAGGCTCAGAGGCTCTAGGAGTAAAGTTCTTTAATAGGGCACAGCTTTGGGTAGGTAAACGTCTAAACACCTAACAGAATCTACCTCTGGGAACTATTAAATCTACCAGGACAGAATAGCATGAGCCTTACGTGAATGTATACATAAAATTTTAGAGCACACCGGCCTACCTGCATTTGACCCCCATTACTAGAAAAATCTGGTCATTTTGTACAATTGTAAATTGCATCTGTATTCAAATGACTTAGAAGGAGGAAATGCCAGTTTTCATATTTGGATTGAGTATATCAGCTATAAGGAACAGCGGACTTTCTGGGAGAGAAGCCCAGACTCCATACATATCCACACAAAAACTACACCACCATATACACATGAATTTAATGTATTCACATGAAGAGAGAATGAGACTAAATGCATGAGTTTATAACTGTGCTGAAAATGGATACTGATTTTTAACTTTGAGGACATTCAGACATTGTTACAAAGAATCCAAACCCTAAAGATGAGTCAGCTTTCCAAGAAAGTATAATTATAAAAGACAGGTGAGCCAGAAGGCATTAGACTTACTTTCTAATTAAGCCCAAAGTCACTTTAAAAAGAAGACCATCCTGTCCAATCACACCCATTCCACTGGCT